AATTTTGGGGTTCCCCTCTTTTCGGCTTCCCGACGCTCCAAGACGGCGGTCTTCTGGGCGTCCGAAGCCGCATGGGAGGCTCCCAAATCGCCCCACAACCATCCGAAAGGGCTTCCAGGCAGTCCAAGAGAGCCCCAAAACGGCACAACACGGGTTCAAGATGGCCCTCAGAGAGCCCCATGGCGGCCCAAGATGGCCCCAAGACACCCTCCGTAGCATTCCAAATCGTGACCCGATCGTTCAGGGAGACCGCGGTTGGAGACAGGGTAGCCCGAGGAAGCCCCCAGAGGCCCCCAGAATACGCCCAGGAGGCCTCCAGAAGGCCTTAAGAAAGCCTGAAACAATTTTTGTGAGGCCCCCAGAGGCTCTCCAAGGAGGAGCCTCCGCAAAAAAGAGCTGAGGAGGATGGGGAGAATGCGCAGGGTATCGCGAAAATGAAGAAAAAAAAACATGGAGGAAAGATAACGAATAACATTATTATAGCGGCGATACCGGAAAAGGCAACAAGGAGTTATCTATAAATTGTCGGCTTGACCTTCCTGCTTTTCCGCCCGCGTAGCAAACTTCAAGGACCAAGGTGCATGGCGCGAAGCGCCACTGCAGTGTTGTGTGTGTGTATGTGTACGGCTCCACGTACATGGCACAACATATCTTGCACCACATAGACTGCGGAACGGGCCCGGGGGAACGGGGAAAAAGGGGATGGGACAGGGAGGGAGGAAGGCAGCAGGGAGCGCGGGAGGAGGAGGAGGGAACAGAGAGCGAGGGAGGGAACAGGGAACGAGAGAGGGGACAGGGAGGAGGAGGACGAGGAGGAGGAGGAGGAGGACGAGGAGGAGGAGGAGGAGGAGAAGAAGGGACGGGGAGCACCAGCAGCAGCAGCAGCAGCAGCAGCAGCAGCAGGAGGGGGCCGGCCCGCGCGGCAAAGGGCCCACCTCGGGCGCCAGCGCCCCGCAGAAGCGGCGGTGCGCGTCGCTGGCCGCGCCGGCCACGCGCGTCAGGCCGAAGGCGATCACCGTGAGGTCCGAGGTGCTGGCGCCGTCGCCGGCGCCGTCGCCGTCACCGGCGTCGCCGGCGCCGTCGCCGTCGTCGGCGTCGCCGGCGCCGTCGCCGTCGTCGGCGTCGTCGTCGTCGTTGTCGCCGTCGTCGGCGCCACCGTAGGCGTCGTCGTCGGAGGCGTCGCCGTCGGCGTCGGCGTCGTCGCAGTCGCCGTCGTAGTCGGCGTCGCCGTCGGCGTCGCTGTCGCTGTCGCCGGCGTCGCCGTCGTCATAGTAGTCGTCATAGCAGTCGTCGGTAACGTCGGCGTCGGCGTCGGCGTCGTCATCCTCCACCTCCTCCTCCCGCTTCATCCTCCTCCTCCTCCTCCGCCGACTTCTTCACTGATGACGCGTTCTTCGTCACTGCGCCCAGTATGGAGCATCCGATTGGCTAGCTCTCGGACAGGCATGACCCCGTGTTGTGCAACAAGGAGGGGGATGATGTCCATAGGGAAAATTTCGACCGCACGGGTTTGAACGTGGCGGGGGATGGGACTTACAAACCTCATGTTCTCAGAACTGTCGAAGTCTGCTTTTTCGTGGGTCTTCATAAATGACCCGGGTGGGCAAGTGGCAGTCGTCCGTGGGCCTGCGTGGCCCAGCCTCCCGTTGACAAACCAAGCGGAACAGTTGCAGTTGAGCTTGATGCGGATTTTCGTTCGGATACCGAGAAGCGTGATACGATGTGATACGGTGGCTCTATGGCCGTGGTGACGATGCACGGCATGAGAGTGAAAGATCCACTAAACCCGAAGCAGAGGTATGGAGTTGTTCTCCGATGTGGTGCGATGCGCCACATGTGCAACAACGACTATGCTCCAGCTGTTGACACGCGAGCACACAAAAACATCGGAGTAATCGGTACCATCCCCGCTCCTGAAAGGTGGTTCAGGAAAGACAACTGGCGAGCCGACGTCGAGGCGAATATAGTTTACACCACATAGCTTCAACGCATAGATCACACCACATAGGTGAAACCACATAGCTCAGACCACATAGCTTACGCCACGTAATGTGCACTGCGTAGCTTCCACCACATAGCTCGCACCACATACCTGAAACGATATAGCTCACACCATGTGGCTCACCAAACATAGCTGACGTACACAACATATGTTTCACCACATTGGTTACACGACATAGCTCACAACATGTAGCTCGCACTACGTAACGTACACAACCTAGCTTGCACCAAATAGCTCGCACCACAGTGTTCCCACCGCCACGTTTGCACAACACATATTGCACCGCAACGCTGACACAGCAGAGCTTACACCACATAGCTGACACAACAGATCGTTCGCCTCCACAGTGCACAAACTCACCGTGTGGGGTCCACCATGGCTCACATGTTGAATGCGCGAATTGGTAGGGTTCGTGGGAAGCCTGGCTGTGGGGACAACGGTGCGCGAGCAGTCTGAAATTTTACGGGGGGGGGCGCAGGCTGATCGGGTTCCCCAGCGGTGGTGGAGGAGCTCTTGACGATGACATCCGACCACGGCCATAAGCCTGCCCGCACGCAAGTGGGCGACGAGCCCAAACCACGGCTTTGTCTGCATGACGTGCGGATACTACGCGCAGGAGTATGAAGGCGCCCTGGGACACACACACATAAATTGACACAGATAACAGGATTCCCCGTTTTTTCCATATTTTCGGGGTTGTTGTCTTCCACCCCACTTCCCATATTTCCCCATATTTTCTGGGGAATCGCCGATTAATTGTGTCTGTGTGTGTGTGTGTGTGTGTGTGTGTGTGTGTGTGTGTGTGTGTGTGTGTGTGTGTGTGTGTGTGTGTGTGTGTGTGTGTGTGTGTGTGTGTGTGTGTGTGTGTGTGTGTGTGTGTGTGTGTGTGTGTGTGTGTGTGTGTGTGTGTGTGTGTGTGTGTCTCCCCTCCCTAGAGTAGTTGCACAGACCGGCGGAGAAGTGCGGCCTCGCAGCTTTCAACAGCGGGACCACGGCGAGTCGGAGGCGAAGGCGCGGCCTGCACCTCGGCCTCGAGGCCGCAGCAGACGCCCGCGCATGCCACCCCGCTGGAGGCTGGGCGGCGCTCTGTGCTCAGACAGCCGAGAAGGAAATGCGACGAGCCTGGTGGGTGGTGATTGCAAGCTGGCTGGGTCAACGGTGACCCAAACAGAACAAGAAAATTCCATCCCTCCTCCTCCTCCTCCTCCTCCTCCTCCTCCTCCTCCTCCTCCTCCTCCTCCTCCTCCCTCCTCCCTCCTCATCCTCCTCTTCGTCCTCCTCCAATTCCTCCTATTCCTCCTCCTCCTCCTTCTCCTCCTCCTCCTCTTCCTCCTCCTTCTCCTCCACCCTCTCCCTCTCCCTCCTCGTCCCTCGTTCTCCTCCTCCCTCATCATCTCACTTCCTACCCCCACTCCGTCCCCCCTCCCCCTTCCCTCGCGTGCGGGAGCGCGCGCGGGTAAGAGGGGCCGGAAGAGGCGGAAGAACAGAAGCCGCACCAGGAGGTGGAGAAATCAAACCAACAAATGAGCAACAAACAACAAACAACAACACATCAAATCTAGAGAGCTCCTAAACGGTCACGAATAGCACCAGGACGGCCAAAGAGGCCCCAATGCGGCCCAAGAATCAGCCAGTTGAACAGGATCCTGCTAGCCTCGGCGGCAAGATGCCACAGGGGCTCAACCGACCTAGCATCTGAAACCTAAATTACGCACGAGATCTGTATCTGGCCACGCGATGCTGCCAAGCATACCAGCAAGGAACATCCGATGTTTCCCCTGTCCACTGCTGCGCATGCAACGGTAAACGCCGCAGGGTTTGCTCCCATGGCGCAGCCAAGTCACGTTTCCATCCTTTCAAAACTTTGAAGATCCAGCGCGCCATCTATGCAGAGCATCCGGACCCAAGGTCGCAGATATCTGAACAGCTTCGCGCAACAGGGGAGAAAACAGCCATCGCGCGCGACACGCGGATAAAGACTGCTCCAATTCAAAAGGAACTGCTGAAGCTATGGTTGACCAGCTCGCACGGTCCTGCTGGGACGCGTGCGCGGCCGAACGGAACTATGCCAAAAAAACAGCCCGCCAACCCCAGGGTAATTACGTGCGCCTGGGGTCTCGTTTTCTGCAGAACCAGCACCGGTCTCCAACTGGACGCGGCGATCCGAGTTACACGCGCTGTGTTCGCCGGGTGCGTCTGAGGCGACAGCCTCCGACTCATCTCAGTTCTTCTCTTTCTTCTTCTCATCATGAACATTCCTCCTTTTGTTTCGCATTCTTTCTTCAATGCTGCCATTGGCCCGCCGTGCCCCAGCATTGGCCAGTCTGTCGGCGCGGTGACCTCGAATCCTGCGAATAGCGCTTGGGCAACGCCAGCGCCATAACCCTCTTGGGCCCCGTCTTTCGGGAGCCCTTGGCCTGCGACGGCTTGCCGCCCCAAGCGCGCGGCCGCCCGTTGCCCCCATCGCCTGGTCCGCCTTGTCTTCGACCTCGTGGGCCGAATGTGTGTCCAATTTCGTGGAGAAGTCCAAGAGCCTGTCTTCGCCGCGCTCCAGCGAGCGCGCCGTACCCTTCCGCTGGAAGATGTCGGACTGGTATCATATGCGCGCGCCGCCTTGCTCCTCAGCAGCCTGGCACAGGAGGATCGGGTAGTCAAGCAGCTCCGCGGAGGAGCACGACCGCACGAGGACGCAGTTGGTCCCTCATTGAAGCACATGCCCCACGAACGTTGCGACGCTCTGACAATCAAGTCTCAGCTCGTCCGGCGGGGCTCCCCTGTCATCTAACACATGGCGGAGCTCACTGTGCAAGGAGGCTCAGGACGGAGGTGCCGCAGCCACAGGCGTGCGAGACCACCCCGGCATCGGACCCACCTGCAAGCACTCGCCGTCGGCGCTGTCGACCTAGTTGCGATGCTTGTCACCAGCGACGCGGCCGAGCCTTGCGAGGCCAACCTCCTCAATGCAGGCAGCGAGGTCGAACAGGAGACGTGACTTCGCATGGCTCGCTGCAGCACAAGTAGCAGCGTTGCATCGCAATCTGGAGAGTTACTGCTCTCGGCGATTCTGGGGCCATCCCGCTCGCCAGCCTCTGATCCGCCCGGCATGTCTTCGGAGCTCGCAGTGCAAGCGACACCATGGCTGGCGAGAGCTTTGATATCCGACCATCCGCCAGGGACTGAAGCCGAAAACGGCTTGTCATTCGGCATCAGGCCTGCGCGGAGAGACTCGCGGATGATGTCGTCAGCGACATCCTCCACATGCACGCCCCCGACAATCTCTGTCATCACACGCGCCGTCCCGGCGTAGAAACGGAGGTCGTGCTTGGCCTTGGCGTTCTCATCGACAGAGTACACAAAACTCAACAAATCCGCCGGCCCCCTTGTGTAAGGTTCGCAATTTCCTGTGCCAGCTGCAGTTTCCAGTTTCCAATGTTACAGTTATGCTTCTTGCTGCTTATTGCTCCTTGTTGATTTTTTGTTGCTTACTGTTCCTTGTTGATGGACCGCGCGAGGGGGGGAGGCCCAAAACAGACATGTTTACCACGCCCAAAACGTGTTGTCTGAATTGCTCGGGTGGGTAAAAATTGACACCCATCATGCAGATCGGTGGGGTCAGGGTCCAAAAACACAAAGGATTTGCCACATGTCTGAATTTCGGTGGCACCCCTCACGCAGATCGGCGGGGTCAGGGTTGTGTCACATTTCCGAAATTCGGTGGCACCCCTCACGCAGATCGGCGGGGTCAGGGTCCAAAAACATATGGGATTTGCCACATTTCTGAAATTCGGCGGCACCACTCACGCAGATCGGCGGGGTCAGGGTCCAAAAACACACGGGTTTTGCCACATTTCTGAAATTCGGTGGCACCCCTCGCGCAGATCGGCGGGGTCAGAGTGCAAAAACACATGGGATTTGCCACATTTCTGAAATTCGGTGGCACCCCTCGCGCAGATCGGCGGGGTCAGAGTGCAAAAATACATGGGATTTGCCACATTTCTGAAATTCGGCGGCGCCCCTCACGCAGATCGGCGGGGTCAGGGTCCAAAAACATACGGCTCGGTGGCACCCCTCACGCAGATCAGCAGGGTCAGGGTCCAAAAACATATGGAATTTGCAGCATTTCTGAAATTCTTGACGCTTCGCGTATCCCCACCAGCCCATCCTACACCAGGCACTCGAACGAAGAGCGCCGATGATCGGCAGCCGAGTATGAGACATCTTGGGATTTCTTGAGCCATCTTGGAAGTCATTTTGGGCTCTCCGAGGCGCTCTTGGAGTCATCTTAATCAGTGCCCCCCCAAGAGGCCAACATGTGGCTAAAACCTTAGTGCAAACAATGGTTTGACCTTATCGCCGAGGCCTCTGGGAGCACCTTGGGTGCCTCTGGGGGGTCTCTTGGGGCCTCTTGGGGGTCTCTTGGGGGCCTCCTGGGGGCCTCTTGGGGGGCCTCTTGGGGCCATCTTGGGGCCATCCTGCGGCCTCTTGGGGCATCCTGGACCCTCTTGGGAGGCTTGGGCTCCTCTTGGACCCGTCTGGGCGCCCTTGAAGGCCCTGCTGGGGCGCTCTTGGGGCAATGTTGGAGGACATCGGCCAAGGAAGTGGGGCTCCTTAATTAGAGCCCCCCCCCAGCAACTCCAAAAATCGCTTCCTGGACCCCTCTTGGATCGCTCTTGGAGCGCTCGTGGCCGCTCTTGGAGCCATCCTGAGGCTCTCTTGGGCCCCTCTTGGAGCTATCTTGAGCCATCTTGGAGCCATCTTGACGCCTCGGATGTGCATCGCAAGCGAAAAAGTGAGAACCCCAAAAACATTGATTTTCCCTAGGGTTATGAAGCATGTTGGCCTCTTGGATGCATCCTAATGATGCTCTTGTGGGCACTTGGAACCGTCTTGGAGAGTTCTTGGAACGTCTTGGAACATCATGGGGACCATCTTGAGGCATCTTGCGCTATCTTGAGCCATCTTGGAGGGTATCTTGGGCTCCCTGAGGCCCTCTTGGAGCCGTCTTGGGCCATCTTGGGCGCTCCAACGCGCCGCGGAACCCCCTGTCCAGGTCAGTGGGGAGGGGGTAGGGGGAGGGGTAAACCCCTCCCCGAAGGGGAAGAGGGAGGGGTGGAAGAGGAAACTCGTTAAACCACCGACGCCCAGAGGGCTGGTGGGATTCGGTGGCACCCCTCACGCAGATCGGCAGGGTCAGGGTCCAAAAACAAACACGGGTTTTGCCACATTTCTGAAATTCGGCGGCACCCCTCACGCAGATCCGTAGGGTCAAGGTCGAAAAACAAACAGGGGATTTGCCACAGTTCCGAAATTCGGCGGCACCCCTCACGCAGATCTGTAGGGTCAGGGTCGAAAAACAAACAGGTCCTGACACTGCTTCACGGCGACGTCCAGACCTCACGATTTAGCTTTTGCATCTCCCATTATCCGAGAGAGGGGGCCGGCGGCAGGGGGCGAAGCTCTTACGGATATTAAGCGGTCGTTTTCGGACGCCGCGCCGAAAGCCGCATTCGGAAGGCGGGCGAGATCGGCGCGGATATCATGTGTCGCGAAGGACGCCATGGTTGAGGTCGTCTGGGCAAGTATGCTGCAAGCACGCCGGAAGTGGCAGACCGAGAGTCTTGAGCCCACAAGGCAGCGGAGAAATGATATCGATGATGACGGCGACGCCGCAGCAGGCGACTTGCTCTGGCGGCTGCTCATGCGCCTTCCCGCGTCGAAGACGTGTCGCGTTTTCGCGCTGGTAGGCACGTTCGAGACGGAAGACACACCCGCCATACATTTTTCCCTGACAAGCACCCCACGCCCGTCCATGGGCAAGACCAGCTCGATTGAGCGTCAAGTCCGCTTCCCCTCCAGGGGGCTGTAACCCCACCCACAGGATGCCTCGGCAGCGGCAGGGCTGCAAACCTGCCATCGCACACGCCAGGGTTCTGCGGGAGCGGCGGCGGAGCTCCCCATGCTTCATCCCTGGGGAGCCGAGCCCCTGGGAGCTCCATCGCCCTCCCCCCTCTTTTCTGCCTCACCAGTCCTCCTCCCTACCATTCGCCCCCAGCGCCCCAAGCGTCAACACCTCCGTGGTGCCTTCCCCGATCGCGCCCTCCTCCCTCCCCCATTCGAACCCGCCCGCGCTGCTGGCGCACCGTTCGATCAACAACGGTCATCCCCCTCCCCCACCCCCACCCCCACCCTTCCCGGAGGAGGGTTGGAAACCACGCGTTGCAAAAAGACCATCCCCACAAGAGGAATCCCGGAGTATCCGTAAAAACATGCCCCCCCCAAGAAAGGATCCAGGGGGGAAGTCACTACACCGAACCATGGGAGACTGGGGAAATCCAGCAGGGACCTCTTGGCAGCCTGGATGGTCCAGGGGGGCATCGACGAGTGACCCACACAAGTCGCTAAGAACTGTGCCCATGTGGCCCGGCGGGGCGCCAATATGGGAAGTCCAGGGCCATGGTCACGGCAAGGTCCTCCCGTCCAACCGCCCCCACTGTCACAAGTCCCTCCCCGTGTTTCCTCCTCCTCCTCCTCCTCCTCCTCCTCCTCCTCCTCCTCCTCCTCCTCCTCCTCGTGCTCCGCTTTCCTCCTCCTCCTCCTCCTCCTCCTCCTCCTCCTCCTCCTCGCACGTGGCTCCGCGCTCCGCCTCCTCCTCCTCCTGCGCTCCGAAGGCGGGTCCGTCGACGCTCGCGCGCGGCTCCCCCCGGGCCTGGCCGGACCCGAGCGAGCAGCGCCCGCCCAAGAGCGGACCGACGTCAGGGCACGGCGGGGAAAGCCAGGCCCGAGCGGGGCGGACCGAGGGAGGCGAGCGAGGGGCAGCCCGAGCGGCTGCCTGCCGCAGCCTCCGACGCGCGGCAGGCGGGCCTGCTAGACCTCCGCGCGGGCATGCCGCCGGGGGCCACCCCCCAAGAAAGGGGGGCCCGAACCACAGCACACCCGCCAGCAGCAAGCTGGCAACTACGGCGCGCGTGGCAACTACGGCGCGCGTGGCAACGGGAAGGAGGAGGAGGAGGAGGAGGAGGAGGAGGAGGAGGAGGAGGAGGAGGAGGAGGGAGTCAGGCCAGATGCAGAAGGAGGAGGAGGAGGAGGAGGAGGAGGAGGAGAGGGGGAGGAGGGGAAGGAGGAGATGAGGAGGAGGAGGAGGAGGAGGAGGAGGAGGAGGAGGAGGAGGAGGAGGAGGCAAGAGGAGGAGGAGGAGGAGGAGGAGGAGGAGTAGGGGGAGGAGTCCCTCGGATGTCCAGCCATCCCCCCGCACTCTCGAGGTCCTGCACGACCGCATGTGCTTCACCAACCACTCGCACAGGGAGGAGAACAGCTGCGCGTCGCAGAAGCCGAGGGGAGCGAGCGCGGACACCGTGTGGCGCACCTCGGGGAAGAGGAGGACGAGGAGGAGGAGGAGGAGGAGGAGGAGGAGGAGGAGGAGGAGAAGGAGAAGGAGGAGGAGTGCAAACCCAAGACTCATCAACAATATTATAATACACCCTCCCTCTGAGCTCCTCTTCGTGGGCCCCCCACAAAGGGTTCATCTCCACCGGAATTGCCCCCCGTTGCGGGGCAACCGTGTCTGAAATCCTAAAACGTGCGAAAACGCCATGATGAGGCCTTCAACGCCACGGGTTAAGCTGATTGCGAAGTCTTGGCGATCCTGAACCGTGCCAGAACACCACTTGGGACTTCAATTCTGCGAATCAACATATTATTGCGCCCTGACAGTCGTGGAACTGTCCAGAACATCATTTCTGGCACGTGAACCATGAAACTACGTGAACCATGTTGCAAAGGAACCGCCCTCAATTCGTGAGATTCTGGCAGCTTTTTCAAACGAATGCACGCGGCGCTTAGGCGAGAACCACAGTTTGAAAACCGCCCGCCCTCAATCCACGAAGCTCTTGCCAACTTTTCAAACGAATGCACGCGGCGCTAGGGCAAGAGCCACATTTTGAAAACCGTCCAGGACTGAAACTCTTGCAAACTTTAAGACGAATGTGCGCTGCTTTCAAG